AGGCCGGGCCCCCGGGAAGATGCTGTTTTCCCTGCGTGAGCTGGTGCAATGGCTGGGCTTTGCCACCTTCGAGATCTTCCTGCACCTCCTGGCTCTCCTGGTCTTCTCCGTGCTTCTCGTCCTGAAGGTGGACAGCGAAGGCTCGATGCTCTCCTGGTGGACTGTGTTCATCCCCTTCTTCGCCGCCGACGGCCTCAGCACTTACTTCACCACCATTGTCTCCGTGCGGCTCTTCCAGGACGGAGAGAAGCGCCTGGCCGTGCTGCGCCTCTTCTGGATCCTCACCATCCTGAGCCTGAAGTTTGTTTTTGAGATGCTCCTGTGTCAGAAGCTGGTGGAGCACACCCGGGAGCTCTGGTATGGGCTCATCATGTCACCCGTCTTCATCCTCCTCCAGCTGCTCATGATCCGAGCCTGCCGGGTGAACTGATACCGAGGGAAAGGCTCCCAAATGACTGCCTCTTACCCTGGATAGAGCTTTGCCTGAGCCACCAGGGAGCCCTGAGCTCCAAGTTTGCTAAGTTGGGCTTTTGCCCTTTTTTTGTTTTTGTACAGAGTGATATTGGTTGTTAGGTTATGCAGGTCTGGTGTTATGAGAAGAGAGTTTGTAATCAACCAGATTACGTTATTATGTTGTATAGCTCAGCATTTCTTCAAAAGATCTTTTTTATACAGCGCCATTGATTTCAGGTTCACTCAGCTCTTGATGTTAATGTTAATATATCCTGATATGCAAGCACTGTTTGATATGCCAGTTAATTTAAAATAAAAATGTACAGATAGTGTAGTTTTATTTATACAACTCTTTTTCCCTGGAAAGTATATGTAGTTGAAACTGCTGCCTGGAGAATAAGAATTATTTGGAGGTTAGTTGTTGTAGATATCCTTGTAAAACTCAAATGGCTACTAGCCTTAAACAATGAAGCTGTTATCTTGCTTGCCCTGACCAGTCTGAGGCCATGGTTTTAACAACGTGTTTTCTTCAGCGACAATCCTAGTGTAATGTATTCCCGTTTTTTCCTCTCATTTCCCTGAGCAATACTTCATGCCTTCACATTGCCAGCAAGATTTTCTGTGCGGTTGTACTGTGAGCCAGAGGGCACTGATGTCTATTTTGGAACAGAAGTATATATTTTTTTCTTTGTATTTCAGATCTATTCCCAAAATATAGTTATAAAGGTGTTGGGAGGGCAAAGTATAAGAGCAGGAGCATGAAGAGCTGCTTCTGAAGGTGGGCTCTCACTGAATCACAGCTTTTGTGTGAAACACTGTCCTCAAATATCTAGAAATGACCCACCGTAAATGGGGGTAGTTTAGTCTTTCTAGGGGAAATAGAGATCAGCAAGTTATTGTTAGGTTCACAACGAACCCCCATTGCAAAAGACACTTTAGTATCATTTAGCTCCGACCGTGAGGATATTCAGGGCTATAGATCTGTCTCTTACCTATCTATGAGACATTGAACGTTACTTTGGTGCCCAGGTCCAGAGGACTGTTCTCCTTTTGACAATGGATTTTAGAGACCTCTGTACTATAATGATGACGACTATCGGAAAACACCTCCCAGCAGTCATGGGCTTCCTTTCCAACCTCAGCAGTGCTCTGTGACCCACCCCTGTCTTTGCCCCATCTACCTAGCTCCTGGTATCATCATGTGTTCTCTGCTGCTCTCAGGTTTACATTTCATGGAGATAGGATCTTGAAATGGAGAACTGCTGCATACACCACTCAAGTTCAGGAGATGAGGTGGGATGTAACCAGCAGAGCATGCATTAAGAAAAAGTTGAGAATTGCCACAGTGCGGGACTATATTGTAATCTAACAAAGTCAGGTGCTTTTCAAATTGCATAAAGCAGATTTTCTCTGGCTTCATACCTGAAATCTAGAAAATCTGTAGTTACCTAGCCTCTTGTGTAACTTGTATTTGCTTTTAGCATTTTGGAAGCATGCGGGTAAGAAAGGACCAATTTTCCAAGTTTATTTTTCCAGTGTACTGATTTTATAAACTTGTGGCTGTGAGTTCAGAGCAGATCTCACTGGATATTCCCTTAACAGGTTCTCTCTTGAAAAAGCTATCCACGGTGAGAGGTCTGATGCTTTTCTAAAAATAAAAAAAAAATAGTAATAATAAAAATCCTAGAGTCCTGGGGAAAAGAGCTGTGTTACAAACTGCCTCATGACCCCTGCACAAGGAGTGCTAGAAACGTTGCTGTGTTGTTAAATGGCATGAACTGCAGGCTTCAAAGCTTGCTGAGGCTTGGGGAAATCTGTGGTCTGACTTACAGGTCAGTCTCCTTTTCACAGCATGTTGAGCAAGAGAATTTTTGCACAGAAAAGAACTTAGAGGAAAAGTTAAGTGACAAATAACACCTTCCCAAGGGGCTGCTCTTGATTTGGAGCTGGAGTAAAAAGTCCTGTTCTTAGTCTTTGTGAGCAGATCCAAGCATGCAGCCTAAGAGGTGGTGTGGCACAGGAAAGCAAATAGCAACAAAGAGCATAATTCCACATAATTTGTCGTCATAATCCAGTAATGCATATCGTTTACTTTTCTGCTGCAGCCATTGGAGATAGTCTGATGGATACTGAATCTAAGCAAAGCTTCACCTCCGTTCGGGTCACATCTGGCTCCAGCTTTGGCCCAGTGACTCTAGATGGCCTATCCTGGCCTGGCATCAGGGTCTGAGGCTGAAAGCACAGCATAGGATCACCCATTTTTCTCCGTCCTGGTGCACCCTTAGGTGGCGCTGGGACCCAAGCGTTAGGTAGGACCTGGCCTCGCAGAAGCTCCTCAGCTCCTGCTTCACTTTGTTATGTGGTTTTCCAGGCTTCAGCACCATCCAGGTGCTGCCATAATGTCCCCATACACTTGTCCGCTCTGTCTGCTGGGAGCCAGCATCTTGCTCACTTGGGTCTAGCTAAAGCAAACCAAGGACACATCATTTGGAAGGAGGGCAGCTGGCTACTCCTTATCCTCTTCCACCTCAGGCCACTGTGACTTCATCCCTGCTGTTGGTGTCCCTGTGCTGCAGCTGTGCCCATGATGTGACAAGTCATTCTGAGTGTACAAGCTGCAGATATTGCATCACCAGCAGCTGCAGAGCTGCTCGTGTGAGCCTGGGGAGGGAGATAGCTGGGGGGTAAGGCCTGTCTGCAATAGGGGGTTGTAGGGGAGCAAGGCTGGGATGATCTGATGGGATTGCCAGTGTCTGCTGAAGGGCACAAAAAATCAGAGCACCAGAGGAGGGATCGTATGATAGGTGAAGGTTGAGGTGAACAGCAGGGAGCAGGAGAAGCAGTAGAGCCTCTGACTCAGGATGTGGCAGTAGCAGAGCTGCTTTAGGGACTACTATTGGACTCTCCCAAAGCTCTCCAGGCACTCAGCTAATTAAATCAAAGATGGGGCAACCTCCTCCCCTCAAAAATTCCAACACTCATCTTTCAGCCTTGGTGCAATGCTTTGCAGAGGAACAGGGGCAGTTTCCTGCTGCTGAGCCATGGCTTGGCTTGCCAGGGACTGTCAGAGCAGGAACAGAGACCTAACCTTACAAACAGCCATGTCACAGGGGTGTGGTGCCCAGGGCTGGCTGGATGCCACTGCTCACCAGGACAGAGGGGGCCAATGCAACATCTACCTGCATTCAGCTTCAGGCTGCCAGCTGCCGAGCTTTCCGGCAGCTCCTCCGGCAATTTGTGGCTATCTTTGGGGACAACCAGGAGCCAACATTTCCCAGCTCTGCTTTTCCAAGGTAAGGCAAGCTCCCAGGTGTGTCTGGGGGACACAAGGGAGGCACAGTCCCAAGCTGTGGCACGTGGGGTGCTGTACTCAACAGGGATGTGAGGGCTGTGTGCGTGGCCAGGGGTGGCAAGGTTTGCCTTGCAGCATGGACCCAGCCCTGCCCCTCTCCCAGGACTCACTCCTTGTGCAAAGGAGTCACTTTTCCCTCTGTGCCCAAGGAGAGCCAAGTCCCACAACAAAACTTCTTGGAGCCTTTGTGTCCCTTCTGCCCCAGCAACATGACACCCCAGGGATCCTGCCCACAGCTGGGGAGATGCAGGTGAGCCACAAAAGCTGCTCCTTTCTGTGAACATCCCCTCCAGTGAAAACTTTCTGGATAGCGATCAAAGGGCCCAGGGCAGAGCTCTGTGTAAATAATGTGGGCGAAGGGCTGTGAAGCTGGAGCAGGAATTACCCAGGTAGGCAAGCAAAAGCCTACGTGTTTATTCTCCTCATGTACAGACTTCCGACGGCACGGCAGGGAAGTAAAGTGTTTTTTAGGGATAAAGCTGAGTGTCCCGAAGCCAGTGTAGGTCAGAAGTGTGCTGGGACTGCCACGTCTGATGGTCAGGACACCCGAGTGCGCTGGGGAGCTAGGCACCCCGTTCCCACCACACCTCCAGCCTGGCATGGGGCCAGGGTAGCAGGGCTCATCGCACAGGCAAGGGATCTGCACTGGCCCCATGCGCTCTGCACCTCCTGCCTCACCTTGCCTGCTCCATGAGCTGCCACGGGCTCCCATGTCACTTGTAGTGACTGACACCCTGTCCCTGGGCTCCAGGAAGTAACGGCCCTGGCTCAGTACAAGCTGTAGGGTCCCTAGCTGTCCCTGGCTTTGGGAGGAAGGCTCCTCAAGCCCTGGGCTGATGGACTCTTTTACGTGCAGGAATACGCTCTGCCAAAGATAAAAATCTAGCCTCTGGATTTATTTTTGTTGCTGTGGCCAGGCAAGTCAGTATTGCTGCCAGCTGGGCTCTTCTCCAACCAAATTGCAGCAGCTTAGCTAAGAGTGTATGTATCTTAGAGAAGTGCCCCAGCTCAGTCCCAGTCCGTGGTTTTGGGCCTGGAGACATGATGAGAGGAGCTGCATGGCTCGATGGTGCTTCCCTTCACTGCATGCCCCACACCCATGTGGGTGTTATAGCTCTGCATCCTTCTGGACTCTCTTGGTGGGGCAGTGGGGAAAGAGCCTGTGCACAGCCCAGCCTCCTCCCGGCCCTGTCCAGGGAGTTAGAGGTATTGAACCATCATCACCATGACCAGAGGGACAGTACTGGCCCCTCTGAAGCCCTGTCTGTCACCCATGTGTCCCACTGCCTTGAGGCTGCTGCTGTAACAGGAGCAGCTCTTGAAGAGAGATTAGAATTTGAGGATGATGAGGTCTGTGCTTTACTACCAAAGCTGCGACTCCCTAGGTTGGGCCACACAGCCACTGTCCCCAGGTGTCATATCCAGGGTGGGCAACAGGCAGAGCCAGAGCTGGGGGAGAAGGGCTTAGAGCCTCTGAATGGCTCAGGGCCAGGCACTGGTACCCATACCAGCAGGTGCTCACTGCGTCTTGCCGTCTGCATGCATCAGAGCCCCTGTGCACACGCTGCTGTCAGGGCGCTGGGAAAAATCTTCTACCTCATCACAGCCTGCCAGAGCCGCATTTTCCTGATGTGAAACTCAGGAAAACTCAGGAAACTCAGGGCTGTGGCATGAAGGCTTGTGGGGAGTGGGACAAGTGTGCAACACCTGCTGGGAAGACTGTGTAGGATGGAGGGAGCCCAAGCTGGTGCAGTCATGTCCATATTGCAACTATAGAGCAGAGCCCAGCCTTGGGATGGCTCAGCTGTGCTTCACACACAAGGAGGGCCAGGGACCAGCACAACCCGAGCTACCACAGTGGCCTGAGATCTCCTAAAGGAGACAGCCAGGAATAGATGGTCTCAAGGGCTCCATCTCCCCTGTCATCTTGACATGGGCAGAGCCTGGGAACTGCACAACTTGATCAATGCAGTGGTTGCTTT